CGGGACGGGGAACGGAGATCAGGTTGGGTTCTGGGTCTGGGGCAGCAACAATTGGAGGCTCTCAGTGTTTGGATGAAAGCATGGGGCCGTGGTGGTTCCTCTTCCTGATGGCGGCGTGTCTGTACGTTGTATGTACGGTACAGAGTGGTGGTCCACGGTATACCGGTACGGAGAAGTGCAACGTAAGTGTACGAAGTACGCACAAGAAGGGTAGGTCGGTGTGAAAGTCGGAGAGGTACGGATAGTACCAAGTAGAGGAGGGTGAGGGTGAGGAGTAGTGTGGTCAGGTAGGAGGAGGAAGAGGTACTTGGCAACCCAATGCCGGGGATCTAAGTCGTTGGGAGTCGAGGTGTTCGTATCCGTAGACCTGGGGATGTATCTGTAGAACCTATCTTGGGTGTCAAGGACCAAGGACCAAGGAAGGTATCCGTAGTAGTAGGGTAGGGACTAGGAGTCTGCTGGGAGTGGAAGGGCGGAAGAGGAGGCGCGGCGGCGGCGGCGCGCGGCGAGGGACGGGAAGCTCGATTGGAGTCGGCTCAAGAAGTCTTCTTACTCGACTTTGGGAACCCAATGTGGTGAGCGGTTTGAAGTGTTCCCGGCTGTGTGGTTCTTGAAACTTGGGAAATGGGATTTTCCCACTCTGCGAATGCGCCCGGATGCCCAAAGGGTCGGCTTGGAACTCGAAGGGGGCGGGGATCAGCGCGTTGGGCAGAGATGGAGCTTCCGCTATTTTTGCTCTCTCTCCTCTTTCTTCGGGTTGCGCTGCCTTGGAGGTTTGACGGGGATGACGGTGTGAGCGAGGTGGGGAGGGGGATCTCTCTCTCTTTCTCTCCGACTGTTGACTTGCGCGTAGAGGAGGGAAGAAAAAGAAGGTCGAGAAAAACGTCAAATTCTCAAGCGGCGGCGAGACGGATGGATGATGATGTCCCGGTCGCCATATACCTTGCTCCCGCGCAGAGAGTAGACGAGCGCCACGGCTACAAGGTACACGCACGAAGTGGAGGTGTCGGCACGAGGTACTCGGTACGCTTGCTCGACGGAGTAGGTATCCTTTACTCTAATGTACGATGGCGGGTTGGGTGTGTAGACTCGGATGTAGGGTGCAAGAGGAAAAGTTGGAGGCAAAGGCAGAAAACGGGCACCACCCGTCCCAAGGCGGTCTGCTTTTGGTGGCCTGGTCTGACTCTTGTTGACTACCCGTATGCAAGTACCTATCCTTCTCTTCGGTCCTCTATGCTTCTTGGAGCTCTGGAGCTTGGCCGAGGGGTACGCGATGTGGTATCTGAAAGTATCTCAAGCTCCTGGATGTGTGTGGGATACGGTGGTGACAGGGGTGAGAGTGACTGAGAGAGACAAGGCAGGGAATTACTTTCGCGACAAGTCCATCACTCTTGGACTCTTCTTCCGGAGAAAAGAGAGTGGGAGAGAGAGACACAGAGAGGACCACCTGGGAAATCCAATCGACCCTGCCAAGTCGAAAAGTCTCAGAAAGCTAGCAGGGCCAAGGGGGGGTCTATGAAAAATAGCAAGGGTGGGTTAGGAGGGACGAGAAGGGGGGATAAAAGGGAAAAGAAAAAAAAAAAAAAAAACCGCAGCAGCAGCGCGGTGACTTTACACTATCTGGATAAGTCTAGGATTGGGGGAGTTGAGCTAGGACGAGGGATCTTCGTGGGCGAACGAGGGGGGGTGTGGGTGTGTGTGTCTCCAGTACTTTTCCCTCTACCGTCTACGAGTAGGTACCGATTACTCCGCAGCACGTCGTGGTCCTCATTGTAGTCGTTCTTGGAGCTTTGCTTTGCGCGGTGTGGGAAAAATGAAGACGAAAGGAGGGGCGTGTTCTTAACATCCCCCCATCGACAGCCTCCGCCGTTTCTCCCACGCGCGCCGCCCTGGAAATGGACGTGAAAGAGGGTGGAAGTGCGTGCGTGCGTGCGTTCCTAGTGACATGGGGGGTTGGAGCGAGCGCGTGTCTTGCGTGTGAAGCTGCTGCTGGCCCAACTTGATCTGCTTCCTCCCACAGCCTACGTACAGGTAAATCCTCATATACACGCGCATGTACAGACAGAGGTATGGTACTCCTCGTGTACTGTGCCGCGAAGAGTACCATTTGGGTTGAAGCACGTATGCCCCAGTCGGTATGCTTGTCTTAGGAAGTCTTCCAACAGCCTGGGAATCTGTTCTTGTGTTGCCGATGGCTTGCTCGGTTGTTTGGTCGCTTGTTGAGAAACTGCACTGCGTACCTGGGCGGCGGATATGCGGTGCTAAGCATAGTAGCTAGAAACTCTCTTCTCCCACATCAACCACGCGCACACAAACAGAATGCCTACACTTGCGCAGCAGTCAGGGCTAGTCGTACGGATACTGCGGTAGCGACAAGTTGGCGACTGTCAGGGATGGGTAGTGCCCGGCTAGCAGACCGACTCAAGGCATTCCCCAATGCCATTCCCATTCCCATTCCCGACACCACTTCCCAAGCTTGTTTGGATCCGATGCAGCACCAGTTCTCGTCGGCTTTCCAAGGCACATTGCCAGTTCCGGACGGGACGCGCCGCAGGAAGATGCTGTCGGGAGAAAAGGGGGGAGGGGGCCCGGCGCGCGAAAGACTCATGGATAACCGAACCTCAGAGACGAGACCATTTTCATGCCCTCTCTTTCTCTCTCCTGGTTTTTTGCCATTCTCTCCGAATCTCTCGGTGTGTTCCGTCCGATACTTGCTCATGGAGTCATGGACCGGCGCATTCTGGATCATACTCCATGCCAGAGTGCCAGGCAACTGGGGAAAAGTGGTCACGGGATTCGAGAAGGAAATTTGCTATTCAGCAACGGCCGTGCAAAGGAATGTCCAAGTTCCGCTTTTTCTGGGGCTCTGGTCCCCCTCTTGTCTTGTCTTGATCATTACGTCGCTGGTGGTCCACGAGGGGCCAGCTGGCCGGTGTAATGTACGGTGAGCTGACGTATGGTTGCGGTGTGATAGCAAGATGGCAGGTCCTTGCAAAAGAAGGGTCTGCTGTATTATTAGGTTTTCTCTCGGTTTGGAAACCCGCGGGCGTGCGATGCGATGCTATGCGAAGGAACGGGATGGGCAGGCAAACAAAACGAGTGCGGAGCAGCGACATGCAATCCATGCTCCAACTCGCCCAAGCAGTCAAGTAGTATCCGTTCGCAGTGCGCCGCCTCGACTCGTCACTTGACCGCTGCGCTGTGCTGTACTTTGCTTTGCTGTGCTGCTTGCTGCCATGCCGGTGCTGCTGCGCGCAAGATACTATCTTTGGTGCTTCGCGGGTGCCGACCGCTAGACTGGGCCACGGTTGGATTGGACGAGGCTGTTCGTGGCGGGCGTGGCGGACGTGGCGGGCAATTCTTCCCAACACTTTGCCATCCTCAAGCGATTCGACGTGAGTCGTGAAGAGAAACAAGCGTCGACGTTATTTTAGCGGCTTGAATGTCGTACACAGGGCCCTTCCTTGGTGGCGGGCGCGAGGCGAAGAGTACCAGGGGAAGTGCAAAAAGCCTCTTTTTTTTTACTCTCCCTTTCTTCGTCGCTCTCTCTCAACCTCTCTCATTATCTCTCTTCATTTCTCGCTCGCTCGCTCGCCCGTCCCCCCAGGTCTGGGGTTGACCCTAAATCTGACGAATAACGTTCCCCATCGGCGATATAAAACCCAAATGCATGGACGAAAAGGCCCGTTCGTTTGCTGACTACGTCAAAGTCAAGGCGGAAAAGGCCGGAACAGAAGAGCTGAAGATCGGAGCTGGCCTCCGTCACTGTGACTGACGAATGTCAAGAGAGAGAAACATGGTGTGGTGGGCGCAATGTTGCCGCAGGACGGACGAAAGTATGCGACTCGCCAAAGTCAAACCAGAGCCAAGCCGGCTAGTTGTTGGCAAGCATCTTTTGATAGTGTGGGATACGGATACTGTATGTCGAACTGCTGCCCAGTAGTAACGATTCATTCGCAGAGACGGTGAACCGTCTTAGAGCAGAAAACTTGCTCCGACGCCGTGGTCCAAGGGACCGGTACCTGGGAAGCACGGAGGGTGCCTGGAAAGACTCGGAGCGCCGAGGGACCTGCCTTGCTCGCGCTCGACTGGGGTGACTGAGCCTTGATGTCGGTCTGAGCAGCTTTTTGGAGATGTGGGATGAGATGGGATGGGAGGGGTCCTCGGCAGGCGGGCGAGGGACAGGGGGTGTGTGGAAAGCAAAAGATGACACCAGCTTGTCCAGATTTGCTTGTTGTTTGTTGGTGCAAGTGGTGGTCTGTGATGCCTTTTTTTTTTCCTTGCTCGAGGATGGAGGGATGGAGGGGAGAGGTTAGGTTAACCACTACCGAAGTCACTCACGAGCGAAAGAGCCAGTAGAGCTGAGGGTGGTGGGCAAAGTCCATTTGCTCGCTGATGCCCGCTTGAGAGGAAGTAAGGGAGCAAGGATGGATGCTGCCCGTCAGTCGTGGTTAGCTGCCGAAATGGAGGTGAGGGGCCCGAGACAGACTGACAGAAGCAGTCTTGCCTGCGGATTGCCCGCCCTATCCTGATGTCGGCGGTGACGGAGAGGTCAAACTTTGAAGAAAGTGTGTGTACGGTATGTGTGTGATGAGTGCCAGCCGAAGGTTGGCGAGAGTACGGTAGAGTTGACCAACAGAGTTGAAGTCCAAAAGCGTGCTGTACGGACACGGGTATCGCCGCCTATCATCGTCGACATGCTCGTGCATCCGTACGTGATTCCGTTCGTTGATATGTACCAAGAATGTCTTCCATCACGCTCATGGGTGCTCTTGTTCTGCTACCCACTAGGGGCGCGATGTTTGCTCTTGGTCTGCTGACCAGCTGGCTGTTTGAGTCTGATTCTGATTCTTGGTCCTAGTCTTGCACGTCTTAGGTCTCGTCGCAACACTTCAAGCCTCTTCTGGACAACGGCGGCCTTCGCAACGGGGTCGATGGAGCTGTTGGAGCTCTTCCCTTGCGGGGCGCAGTAGAAAGGCCGCTCCTGTCGGCCGGGACGGTCAAGACTTCAAGTCACCTGGGCGGCAGCGGTGGCCTCGACAAGCGACACACAAGTGTACTCGTGTTGCGGTGACGTCGCAGTGAGAGAACCAGGTAGCTTTCAAGTACTGTCAGCCCCTCACTTTCTTTTGGAGGGGTGGATCGCTGGCCGACAGTCCGCGCCGAAGGTCCGCGTACTCGATACCGCTTTGCCTGGCGGTTGAGGCGCAACATGCGGCACACCTCGAATGCGCCGGCTCGTACTCGATACATCAGTCTGCGATTCATGGCTGACCACTGGTATACACAGTACAGAGCAGACCATTGTCGGGCAGCTCATGTTCCACATCAATGCTCTTCGGTTCTGCAACATGATCTTGGTCTCTCCGAACCATTCGACTCTTGAGGAACCACTCGAGCGCACCGACTTTCAACTTGAGCAGATCGTGGGGCCTCAAGTCTTCAATACGCGCCGTGAGTCGTCTGCAATTCGGCAAAGAGGAACCCATCGCTGTGGAGCTGGTTAGTGGGTTTTGACCCCAGAACGGTTTGAAATTTTCTTTCTTCTCCCCCACCCTCAAGTCGCGGTGGTCCCCCCTCTTCCCACCTCTACGGTTTTGTAGTTTGTGAGGACTTCCAATGAGCATCGAATGCTGCCCTGTAACTTCCAGAAAACAGAGGAAAGTGTCTCGGAGTTTGTTGGCTGTCACTTGTGGGTGGTGTAACTCCTTGCAGCAGGATCCGTTGCTTGTCTGGCTGAGAGCTTGTCAAGACTTGTGAAGATGTCGATTGCTCCATCTCGAGTTGACTCGTTCTCTTGAAAGACCCCTTCAACCTCGACCTAATTCAAACGGGAGGGCAACAGCGCCAAGGGACCATTTTGCGTGCTCGGCAAGTGATAATCGCCTCAAGTCCGTCCCGGATTCGGATTCGGCAGCACCGGCGAGCTTCAAAGGCACGTGGAATCATCGGCCGTGTGTCGAAAGTATGTCCATATCGACAGAACCAAACATTGGTTATTTGTCGTGTCGTCTGTAACAAGGTTTCGTAAGGCAACGTGGGCCAGGCACGCTACCATGTTGCCCTCTTGTCCAGGTACTGTGCATTGTCTCGCTTACTACTCTGAACGGAGGTCCTTTGCGCATCGTTACACAGCGCGAATCCGTCACTGTACGACAACGACATTTCTGTCATTGTCGGTGCTCAAGTACGTCATGTCCAACACTTCAGGCTCGAGCTTGGATATGCAGTTGCAGGTACAGCTACCTTGTCCCTGGATGCTTGTCCCAAGAACATGTCGGAGGCCGAAAACCCCATCGACGAGCCTCGGATTATCGATAATTGACAGCTCATCGGGGGCTTTTTGGGGCTGCGGCGGCCAACGCGAGATAGCTGCGTGCGACAGATGCGAGTGCTGATATAAGATGCGGCGGATATGGTCCGCAAGTACATGGCTTAGTACCCTCCAGCCTCGAGCGAAAGAGCGGCCCCCTCCGACTTACTCCAAGTTCATTGCCGCATCTTGCTTGTTAGTGAGAGGCTCGTCATCCAGCAGGGGGGATGAGAGGAGAGAGAAAAGAGCCACGCCTCCAAATCTCTTTAGCTTCGAAAACGGGTCAAAGGCTACCGAGCCCAGCCCGAGCACAAGGTACCGAGGAAAATCCTGTGGAAGATCCCTACCTCGTCCAGCGACTGACATTTGGGGTATGGTCAACATGACCAGCGCAAAACAGCCGACTCTAGTACAAGCGCGCTTTTGGTCGTGACAACTCTGCATGCGAGGCTGGACAAGTGAGGCGTGCGGTCGTCAGTGGTATCACGGGACATGGTGGCATGCAAGCGGTGTGCCGCTCTGGTAAAAGTATTGCTGAGGTCGTCGTCATAGCCATAGCAATTGTTGCCAGTCCCGATCACAAAGTTATCACATCCATAAATCTCCACCAATGCCTAGCCACTCGTCGTACGGATAGTGTAAAGCAATTTACAACGCCGTTACGCCAATGAACTGTATTCAAGCTTGTTCCCTGGGCGGGCTGTCGGCATCTCCATTTCGTTGTCGGGAGTCATGGAAGCACCCGTCGCACTCGAACCGTCTCAATAAATGCCCGACTGTGGTCTCTGAGAGATAAATGCGACCCCATGGCCTGGGGCTACGTCCGAAAGGGGCACAACCGAGTAGCCAGTGAAGTATGCCCTCGAGATATTCATGGCAAACAGCTGTAACAGGAGGTACTCGTTCTCTGCCAGCTGTGTTGCAGGGTCCTCACAAGGCTTTCCCTGGAAGTCTTCAGCAACACCCAAAAATAAGCAGTACATATCTTTTTCTCCTCTGCCGCTGCCGATATCATATATAATAGAACGCACCCCATGCCTTGATTAATGTGCATTCGCAGCTATTGCGGCCTCTCATCGAGGACAATAAGATTGAAAGTGCCGAGCGTCTCTCTTGCGGACAAGGGCAAAGGCGGTTGAGCTGGTAAAATGATGTCGGAGTTCGCTCCGTTGGCAGTGCCTGGTCACTTGTCTTCTCCAAAGTCCCCGGGCTCAACGCTGGGCAGAATACCTCACGGCCGGGCCCTTCGAGATGAGATCACTTCGCCAATGATTTAGGTTTCCGGCACCCAGGCTTCTCACATAAAGTCCAATAAACACCGTTTGCTGCCATGAATGACTGGACGGTTTTGATATGTCAATCGACCGTGCAAGTGACACAAGATATGAGCCGATACGACCCACCCAACAAGGCGCCAGCGTTGTTTGATGACATCCAGCTTCGTCTCGTATCTGAGAGACTCCATCAAAAGGACAAAGTCGCCTGCCAATATTGCTTTCAAATCAGTCACCGCCTTTTGTAGCCTGCGGTAGTGAGTAGAGTTCTTGATCTGCAGACGCTGACGACCATCAGTGGGCCGGTGTGGTTGACGACGATGGCTATACGTCCAAATTGGCTGATTCCTATTAGGTTCCAAGTCTAATCAGCAGAACGTTGTTAGTCCACAAACCCCCGCCATGTCAGTAAGCTTGAGGTCATAAATCCTCATTTCGTCAGAGGATTACGCACAATTCCGCGCTGGCTGCAACTGCCGCAGCATAGGCGGCTGCTCGCCCCTGGGGTTTCGTTCGGGAAACGGTGAGTAAACTGTCGCGTCGCGAGATGTGCTGGCTAGATCTGTAACCGTATCACAACTTTCCTCTTGGGCTGCCATGATCGCCAAGTAAGGTTCTGGGGCGCAGATGTTATCCTGTGAAATCCTTACCCTCGATGAGAATATCACTTGCTTTGTATGTATGGCTTCAGCTCCTCTATCCCGAAGTGACTGAATGATCTTCGGGCTCAACCTGTTGCCTACCCAGTAGCCGCTATAGGCAGACGCTGCACAATGACAGCCATCGAAGCAGCTATTCCGTTCTGCACCAAGTAGCGGACAGGGCAGTATCGGGGATGGGGTGACTTTGACTCGAAGGTTGCATTGCTAGGCTGTTCCCTGTAGCATAAGCCTGCCGACTTGCTCTCAACGTCCGTGGGCTTAGTTGCAGGAAGCCGTGCAGAAGGGCGGCGCGGCGGCATTATGAGCTGCGTATCAAGCACGCCGGACAGGTAGGGTCCTGGGCAAAGCGTCCGAGCACAAGCCCACCATGAGGTTTCGAGATAGGAAGTCGATGTCTCCCATCCATTATTGTGCAAGAAAGGATACAGTGTCGTCAGAGACAGCATGACGGGCGCACACAACCACCAGAAGTCTGTGGCAGACTTATCCGCGAAGGTGCCCTTGTAGGGATAGCAGGTCGGCGAGTTGCGCCGGGGAAGACGGAAGCTAGACTTCTGTTCGTCTCGTCTCAAAACTGCCCGTAGTGTAGTGTAGAGCGGCTCGACCAAATGCGAGGCAGCCGTTGGAGGGTTAAGGAACTCAAAGGCGTGTCCACGAAGGAAGTGGCTGTCTTCCATGGAACGCGGGATGCGGGGAACAAATCTAGTTGGAGGATCGACAGGGTTCGCCTTCAATAGTCGCATTGACGACCGAAGTTTGTCCTCCACGACGCCTGCCGCTGTTCCTGACTGACCCGAAACTAGCCTGCCGTGACTGCTTCGAAGTCCGCACAGCCATTGTTCTTCATCTCCATGGGGGGGGGGGGGTTTGATATTCGTAATGGCTGATGACTTGGGCGGGAGCCGCCACACATAGGCGACGTGCATGCCCGGCTGGCATCGCCTTCGGCAGCAAGCCTTGCAGCTTGGATCAGTATCGGTGATTGCGAATGAGCTCCTTCTCCGATTCTGGCTGGTGCGGTCGCTTTCCCAAAGGGCCCAAAAGAGCAACCCGAGGAGATGTTGGAGGTTCGGAGATTGGTGCACCGCCGACTGGAGACGAAGGTTTACCAGGGTTTGCTAGGGTAGGTATCTGAGAGAACCAGGCGGCCATGTCGCAAGATTCAACGCATTGTAGATAAGACGCAGGCGGCAAGCCTCTTGAGTCCTTGACTCCTCATTCTCTTGATGCTTCGGGCGGCGGCAGGCGTCGGCTTGGTGCGTTAGAACGAACCTGTTCCACTGTTCCACAGAATACTACCGTTGTGCTGACGGTCGGTCTATCGAAAATGACATCTGAACATTGGCGATGAGAAGAACAGCCGTGCCGATTACGGCTTAGGTCGCAACGGGCGGGGTGGGATGGCCGTCAGAAGTACAAAGCACACCTGGCCTAGATATGTTGCACTGTTATCATAGGAGCGCCAGTCATATGGACTGTTTGGTTTCTGGCAATCCTGTTTTGAGGCCAGCATGTGTTGCCGCAGAAGGTTTTCTTTCAGCCCAAAAACTACCCGAGAGAGTGCCTGAGCCGCAGGGCGCTCGCTCGTAAGGGAAACAATCGACCTTGTTCCCTGCAATATCCGATAGCTTATTCGTAGTTACTCTGAAGCGACGGTATGCGTATACACAGCTGCGGCTGAAAAGCGAGGATTCACTTCCATTAGACGGATAGGTGAGGGTTGAAAGCCAATCCGTAGGATTAGAGTAACAGCGCAGACCCGCTGGGTGCCCCTCGCTTTTGTCATTTCTCAGGATCTTTCGGTCTGCAGCGCACAGGACCTGTTCTCCGAACCTTGTATCAAGATGCCTTCGGATTTCAACAGCAACCCCTCAGGTTTTGGGCCGTTGTGTTCTCACGAGCTGACACACCAGGCTGCCCACAAGCAATGACACCTTCAAATCTGATAATCAAAACGCGCTTTCCTGACTCTTGAAGAATTCGGAACCTCGGTTGGCGGTGTAAGATATTCGACAGTGGTCCGAGCTTGGTTCATTTTCCGATCACGCACTTTAATCAGGCCATTATTCGTACTGTCACACCGAGACCAAGGATCAACATTGTTCGTCTTGACCGGTCAAACTAGCAGGCGTCTCCGGTAGTTTCCTTGCGAGTTCCGTGTGTGCGAGTTGGCCAGTCAAGAGACTCGAGACGTGGTCGTTAGAAAAGGCTTCGTGACTTGAGCTGTGGCAATGCTTTTCGGCCGGCATTGCGTCGATCATCCCGAGCTGCGTTGGGGGCCCTCGCATATCATTCGAAATTTCAGAGGCAGCGCCACAGGCGGGAAGGCAAGCACCGCAACGGGAACGGAGCGCGTTGTGTCTTAGAATAGCAGCCGCATTGCTTGCTGAACCAGTCTTCTTTGCAAACAAGCGCTTGGAATAAACGTGCCTCCTACCGTAGGCGGCTGATACGTATGTCGGTCAAGAAAATTGCACCAGCTGGAAGCCACGTGGCGCAGGTGCTTTGTTGATAGAACTTCGCCCTCAAGGTTACTTAAAACGTTCTAGGCAGTTGTCGGAAACGACAATGACTTGTGTGAGTACATACTGCCGTGTATTCGGTACGTCCAGCTTTCATAGCGTCCGGGCCGAATCAGTTCCCCGTCGAACAACGCTTCTGGCGTTCCGTTGCTGGAGACAATTTCCAATTTAGATCCGGGGCCAAGAGCTCGAGAAGGTTGAACCGCCGTTCCATCCCCCGAGACTAAGATCAAGTAGTCGCTTAGCCAGAAGCTGAAACGAAGCCACCGTCATAATGAAGGGGATTGCTCCATCCAGTCACGTCGAGATCCTGGACATGAGGTTGGCACGTCGGATCCATCGGTGGGCTGTCGGTGAGCATGGACATATTGCAACACGGTGGTCGTTGGTCCAGACAGTTGTTGATTTTTTCTTTTTTGGCGTGCTCCGCTTCTTCCTTTGCTTCCTTTTTCTTCAGCTCGTCGGTAGATGCCGGTCTGGCAGTCTGACAGACATCGTCCCCGTTCTCCGTGCGTATATTAGGTGGCCACGAACTCCAACGGCCGGGGAAATTTGTCAATGACAAGTTGGAAAGGAGATACTAGCGCTAGACCGGGATAGGCACTCTTCTGGCTGTAACAGAGTACATCCTTTTTTGCGAACGATCTGCCGTGATATTCTTCAACGAAATCCTGGCCCCTTTTGCAGTGTTTCGAGCCTTCGAGGGACAGTGGCCCCAGTGCTGCCAGCGATGAAGAGTACTGAGCGGTGCGGTACACATGTTAGTGGATAATACGACCATGTCTGATCGCGTCGCCTCCGGTTCATGCTTATCATATCCGAAGATCTCTCAAGCTTGCGCAGTCCGCCATGAAAGCCTTCGCGGTCTAGGGAAATCCTTAAGTGAGGAATACTTTTGCCTAATACAGCTATTGCACGCAGTATCCGTATGCAGGTCGAAAAAGTTGTTGGCACAAGCGATGTGCTGCCAACTACAACATCGGTGTACCGTTGCATCATCAGTCACATGACGAGAGCGACACCGAAACTGTGATACGCCCCCTTGCGGATCGCGTGGCCCTCAGGGATAGATCAAACTCCAAGTTGAGCCTGATGCCTGAATGTTGCAAATCTAGGTGGGAAATGTCATCAAGCAGCCCAAGGGTTCTGCTGTGCGAGGACTGTCAAGCGGTCAAAGCGGGTTGCACATGGCTGAACAGACTTTCGTCGCAAGGTCGATGAATGTTGATCTCGATGCCCAACCACAACCATGAACGGCGTTTCCGACTTCCATCTCTATTGCTGACGGCACAATGCCTTATTCTGATAGTGTACCCCTAAATATCTCCGCCGGCCTAGTGTCGCCGCCAGAGGCAAATTTTTCGTGTTCCAGTTTACACACAGCGGGCGCCGAAAAGGGGTTCTGTTACGTTGCAGCGCAGGCCATGCTCAGTGCTAACAGCTGAGGTGGGTGGACCGTAAGAGCAAGATTCTATATCGTCCAGATTGCCAGAGGCACAGAGCTCACGGAACTGACTTTTCTTGTGTTGCAAGGGAGTCAAGCCGATCTCCGATTTCCGATTTCAACCAAAGCCCTGGTCGCGATACGCCAAGCTGGATTGAGATTTCCTTTTCTATGTGTCGGGGGGTCCTGGAGCTTGCCCTCATCGGCTCTCAAAATTTCTTCTGATGCGTGTCCTTGGGCATTGTAAGTAGGTTGCTCAAAATTGGCGAACATGACAATGTGTGAGCCTGATATGAGTTGCGGTCTTGCACAAGCATGTCCGGCATTAGAATCGAACTCGCTGACTGACAGAACATGTGTGCTGAGCCCATCGCGCATTCCGATATCAGCGGCAAAAATAGAGTCTGAACCCTTCAGTGAAGCTCTCTCGGAGCGGGTGAGGTGATCGGGTGACCTGCCGGATGAGACCCCCACACCGGCAGCCGGACATCTAGATCCGTACCCGCCTCCATTCCGGTCCGGTGTGTCGGATGCGACCCCAAGTCGGAGCGAGGCACCAACCGTGTACGAAAGCGGTCAAAAAGTGTTGATTAGTAAGCTGCGTCTGTGAGACTCGGGCGGTGTTCTGTTCATGCCTGAACATATGCCTTCGTAACGACTGAACTTGGTTTGGATGACATTCTACAGCATTCGCTGTCCTCATACTTCGTCACCTTGTCGTCTTTCAGTGAACCGATGGCCGGTTATGCATTGAGAGCTGTCCCGGAGGCCAACAGTATGTATGCATACCCCAGTAAAGCCGGGGAGTCGGCCATATCACCGAAATGGAGTCTCTCGCTTCACATTGACGTACGATTTGCGATCCGTTGTGATATAAGATTCTCAGTTGAGTACCAACGGCTATCAGGGGTAGAATCATTGGGCGGACGTATGTTCCATACCTGCAGAATTAAGAGTTGTCATCAGCGTCAGGATTGTGCGATGTCTAGATTTCTTTCCCCTTGGGCTTGACGTGTAATGTATTCAATCTCGTCGGCAGTTGGTTACAGGTATGAGCTCTGCGGTCTATGGTGAAAGGTCGCCGACGGTGGGCGGAGAGATTGTGCCGACGCCATTTTCCATCGCCTGCTCTGACTTGGTATCGACGTAGACTTCCAAGGTTTGAATGGGACTTTCACCCCGACCTCGCACTCTTCACTTTCTATGCCGACATGAGTCAAATTGTGAATGACCCTGGGCGGCTCCCCTTGTTTCTGCTGCGCTTCGTAAACTTGACAAAAAAGCCTTTCGTCTAGTCCTAGAAATAGACTACATAGCGCCTAGCGTCGCCAGCTGCTTCAATTCGTCAAAATTCGCTCGAGCATAGATGATGTCGTACCAAAGCGGTCGACAGCAGACGGTTGGCGCGCAAACTGGTGGGTATGGCAGGCGCTGAGAGTCTATCGCAAACAAATCTTAGTTTCTGTTCCGAGTCTTGGTGGGTATCTTGCTAAGCGAAACCTGTGTTCCAACAAACTTCATCGGACTCGGCCACGATGTGTTTCCTCCATACAAAGTCGCGGAAAAAAGAAACTGGAACCCACGAGAAATACATAGATACAGCGGGACACTCATCCGTGGTAGGCAAGATAAGCCTGCTATGTCTTTTGAACAAACGAAAGGAGAAAACATGCGGCGTTGTCGGGCGTAGAGCGTTTGCGAAGTCAGGGCCAATCCGTCAATGAGCCGGTTGTTCCAAGCGCTCCATGTGTGGGATCGAGGCAGCTTAGAGGTTAGATGACGGATCCTGGCAGTGACTGGGTGTCTAGCGGCGGCTGATTCGATGGGTGCTTCATTATGGAACGGCCTTCTGCATTCGGTCATCATTGAGATATGCCGTCGCTGACCACACCCGAATAGCCCGAATATTCATGTCGAGCGCGCCGTGGATCTTGTGACCGATATATTTGCTACTCTTTCTTACAAGAGCACACAATGAACAAGGCTGTGCAAGTCCACAACTGTCCCCGTGCACGTAAGTACCAGATGCCGAGTTGCCGTGTCTCGATTGCTCACCCGATCGCTAAATGAGGATCCATACTTGTTCCGGGTTGCTGGCAACGGTCGCCAAGTGCAAAAGTGCCAGCAAGTCGAGCGGTGGCAAGGGTTTGGCGGGGAGTGTTGGAACCAACATCTCGGAAAGTGAGAGATCCAGAGAGGTTCTAGGCATTGTCGGGATCGCTCAGTTTTTGTCGTTTGGTTGCCCTTTTCCAGGACCCAACGTCAGCGAAACCGACATGGGCTGTCTCCCGGCTCACGTGTCCAAGCACAGGATAAGTTGGCGTGTTGGTCGCGGTGCGTGGTTCTTGATACGTCGGGTTGCTGTCCTCGGGTAGTTGGAGGCCCTCGGTGAAGACCATGTCTCCTTTGCTTCCTAAGACGTCTCTGCCAGCCTCTTCGAGCAAAATGCCCAAGGCGATTAAGGCCGACTCATCCATACTTCTCTCGTCAATATTGCGAGCGCCAACTTGGTACGAAAGATTGCGCTTTGGGCCGCCAAGGGCAGAA